AGTCCACATGCATGGTATATTTTCAGATGTATTGATTTTATAATCCCCAGGGATGTGTGCTGTCTCCTTTTTCAGTTCTCAATATGAACTACTGGGACACAAATTCAGAGCAGCAATGTCTATTCAAATATGCAGGTGATATGGTCCTAAAGGACCAACCTTCAGGTTAGAAAAAATAAATTGACCACATCAGTCCTCTTGAATAAGAAAGGATAAGAAAGGAACATTACAGCTCAGCATTCAATACCATAGTGCCCTCAAAGCTTGTCATCAAGCTCCAGGACCTGGGACTGAACACCTCCCTTTGTAATTGGATCCTGGACTTCTTGACGAAACGTCTGCAGGTGGTGAGGGTGGGCACCAACATATCCTCTACCCCGACTCTAAACACTGGAGCACCCCAAGGCCAGCTTCTACAGGTGCACTATTGAGAGAATCCTGACTGGCTGCATCACTGCCTGGTATGGGAGCTGCTCCGCCTGGGATCGCAAAGTACTGCAGATCAGCGATCAGCGTGAAGTCAGCGCAGGATATCTACTCAGCGAGATGTCTTCAGAAGTCCAGGTCAATTCTCAAGGACCCCAGTCATCCCAGTCACAAACTGTTTTCTCTCCTACCGTCCGGTAAACTGTACCGAAGCATTTGGTCCAAGTCCAACAGACTACGGAACAGCTTCTACCTCCAGGCAATAAGACTGCTAAATAGCCAGCCTGCAGCTCCTTTAGCAAATCACCCATAATGGCTACATGGACACACAGTTTTCATTGTATTTGGCATACTGCACTACTTGGACATAATATATTGCATACACCCTGGACACCCAGCAGGGTTTGAGTTTGAGTTTATTTTATGCAATTTCTAGTCTGTTAAGTTTGTGGAGAGCCTTACATATCTGGGACGTAATGATCAGAGGTTCAGTTACACTAGGAATACAAAAAATGTTGTTGTTTTTTTATTTGAATACTTAATGTTAGTCAAAATGTCTTAGAGAGGGCTTATAAAAGCCTTGTTCAGAGTATCTACACCTGACAGTGTGATATGGACATCTGATGGTGAAATGTAAAATCAAACTATCTAGAACTATCTAGAGATTGGCAGGAAAAATAACTGAGAACCAGCAGCTGGGGATTTCTACCACAGTTTAGCTAATTCCACGCATCCTCATTGTGTAATCCAGGGAGACAGTTCAGGATACCAAAGTCCTGTCACAACATGTGCAATGAAAGTGCTCATTGTTTTCTACCCACTTCTAGTTTATTTATTTATTTGTCATGTACTGTTGTTATGACTTTATGCACCTGTATGTGACTGAAGTGATTTTTATGTTTTGTTTTGTGTGTTTTCATGCTTGATGAACTTTTTTATGGGAGAAGCCAAAGACACATTTCCACAGTTGTGGACAGTAAAGTAACTATTGTGTAGTGTATTTCCTTCTGTACTGTATGTTGATATTGTGGTGCCCTTGCCTGGTGGCCAAAGAGGCAAAGGGTGGATAGGAGGAGGAGCCAAATCAGTAGGGTTGTGAGTGGTCAGCAGAAGCACAAGGATGAGAAATAAGGAAAACAGGGGCACTGGTGTCACATACCAGAGGTACCAAGGACTGCTCCCAGAACCCTGAGGCCTGTGTGACTACTGAACTGGAAATCTGGTAGCTCTCCAGAAACCTTTTAACTCTTTATTACCTCAATATCTATTTTGTTGGATTTTAAAAAATGCTATTCGGGAATGAATGCTGTAATGGAAAGTTACTGAGAAAAAGTGTCCTTTTTTATCCTAAAAATGTTGTTTACAGACAGAGCTGTGCTGCAGAAGCAGCTGGATACTTAGAATAAAGTGTGATAGCACCCTACTCGTCAAGGGCATGGGATGTTTTACTAATGTTTATCTTTGCTGCTTAAAAAAGGAGTATGACAAAACTATTTGAATAACTGCTCTTCTTTGCTAAAAGCAAAAACCTATAAGAAATGGAAAATTACTGCTTCGCCTGTCCTTGCATCAGCTTAAAAAAAGATATAAAACAAGGGCTCTCCCTGCTTGCTTTTGAATCGGCTTTCACTTCTCTGCACAGACCAGTGATTGCTCTTTCCCATATTGCAATATGAATAAAGACCTTACTGAATGAATGAGAACACCTCTCCTGGCTCTTCTTTGATAAAATTCCATGACAATGCTTTTACTTCACATTTCTGGAAGAAATTATCAAAAACAAAGACAAAAACATTTACTCTTATTTAAATCAGAACACAAGAACATTTTTCCTTAATTTGGGCTCAAATTATATCTCATTGCATATACTCATTTATGAACAGCCACTTCTTAAATATGTACAGTATATATATATATAATTAATTTAAAAAATGTTTTAATATTTATTAAAGGATGCTGACCTTTGTGAGCATAACATACAGATGTGAAATAATGTTCAGCTAAGTGTTATAAGCCTATTGAATTAAAGGACTGGAGAGATTGCTTGTTCTTGATTAACAAAATATGACATAATGTTTATTTTCCATAGTGGATCCAGGTGGATCAATGACAGAAATACCTGTGAATGAGAAAGACAACATGTTTGTCAAGAGCTGGTAATAGGAAATGCTACAGTTGTTGATATTTCCTAGGGGGCTGTCAAAGTGTTTCTTTACAAGGCAAAGTGTATTTTACATTATGGAGAGGAAGAAAGGCCTTCAAAATCCCAATGGAAGCCTTTTAAAACATTTCTGTCTGAGATGAATAGCAATTCAGAGAGGTGTTGTATTTTATGAAGTCTGAAATATTTACAGACTGACAAACTGCAAAACTGCAAACTGCAAAACTTCAAAACAGTTTACAATGAAAAAGAAAAACGAGTAACAATAAGCCTATGGCTGGCATAGTGCCCAAAACAGATGACGTCACTGTGGTTTATCAGCTCTGTTGGCACCTCTAACAGGTGTATTAACCCTACAAGCACTTGAGCCACTCAGCCATTGACACGGACCAGGAGAGAAGATGGATTTTGAAAGCAGTGTGTATTTAAACTGGCTTACATTGGACTTTTTCAAATGTACTTAAAGCACTGATTTGTTTCAGGCAATTGCTCAATGAACTCACCACAGAAAACAAAAGAACAGTTCACAGTGATATTCCATATTTAGAGCCACTGTCACAGATGTCGGAAAGGACGAACCGTGGAATGGCAGGAGATCAAAAAAGACCCTATGCGTAGCAGCGAGACGGGGGTTAGCCCGGGCTCAGCTGTTCAGGAAATGCCGTATAGAAACCTATGCCCTCAGGCCAAGGACAGGAGTGACATCTGAAGCTCAATGCTGAGCATGGAGCAGAGCAGAAGCAGGAAGTAAATATGCTACACAACAAGACACACCAGAAAGACATGAATAATCACAGGGAACTAGGAACAGGGCTGAAGTAGTGCACCCTCTAGGTGTACTGGGCGTGACATGGCAGTGCATCAGTGGCACAGAAAGTACATTCTATACATTATGAAATGGAAACCTATTTTATTACAGTTTTAATTGTTCACATTGTCTTTATACATTTGTAAAAGTTTAATAATTCTCATTCATTTAAGTAATCCTAAATACCCCACACATCTGTCTGATAGTTAAACCCCCATAAATTCATTTGTATAAACAGTTGTTGTGTTTTGCTTTGTGAAAGCTTTAGATGTTTACATATATATTTAACATATGAACTTTATAACGTAAATATAAAGTAGTAAATGCGTACGTCTACATATAAAACAATTTTTATGACCTGTAATAAATGGAACTAAAGGTTAACCTACAGGAAATCGTACAGGACAGTCCCTCACATTGACCTGTGGCACTTCGATCGAGTTTGGTTTTACAGTAAAGGACAGCTCTATAGGATGACATGACACTATAATCCTATAGGATACCCCATAGGATTTCTAAATAGTACTCCTATCGATTATTTTAATATTGCGGCGCCCTCGCCTGGCGTTGCTGCCGAAGTGCGTGGCAAAGAGCAGGAAGCAGGACGGGAGGAGGAGCAACAGGATGGACTGAGGGCTACTGGCCAGCGCGGGCTGACCATCTGGTACGGTTGCACATTGTTGTGGGCTGTTGGGCTGCCATGTAAATAGTTATCCCCGGTTTACACCCTTTTATACCTCTACCCACGTAACCACCCTACTGTATGTACCTTTACCCCAGGTGACCCTAGTGTGTTACAGTAAGTCTGTGTTTGTCTCCCGCCGTCTTTGCTGCTGTGCCGGCAATAAAGAGCCGTTTCCTTTCTAAAAAAGAGCCCGAGTTCCTGTCTGCATCCTCGCCGATCCCGTCTCGCTGCAATATATCATTTTGAAAAACCGGTATGCTGCAAAACTCTTACTGTTCAAGTTAAACAAAAAATCCAGAGAAGTTGCAACGATAACGGTAACACAAAAAACCGAGAAGGAAAATACACAACGCCATACGAGTTCCGAAGCTGAAAGTAAAAGCAAAGACGAAAAACGTAAAAAGACGGGGGATCTGGCGTAATGTAATCCTGAAATTCAATATTTACTATTATTATTAAAAAAAAAACAGAGTGAAACATTTATATCTCTCATGTTGTTTACACTGTGTATAACACAATTTCTTGCTCTTTCTAATAATTCTTAATCCATTCGCTTTAAAGAAGGGGACATTTATCATTACTATTTATTGGTTTGTTTTTGTATCCAGACATCACACTTTATCCTCTTTTTATATTAAATAATTTTTCTCTTATTAATTCTAGCACACAATTCCTGGTAGCTATTGGATTTTTGGTCTCAATTTTGGTTAGTTATTCCCATGCTCTGCTCATTTTATTAGTAGTATTATTCACTTTGTTTCTTTCTTTACCTTCTCCGAAAGTTATATTCTACCCTGCCTATACTCGTCTCGTACTAAAGTATGAATCCAAAAAAAATATTGTGTCACAATTGGTCTCGCTGCAACAGTAATAGTTTCTCTTTCGGGTGACCGAAATAGGCTGAGTCAAGCCCTGTAAAACAGTAGAATCGAAACGGAAAGCGTCCGCAAAAGTAGAATTGAAATCCTTGTGCGAATAAAGATGTCAAACTCTGCTCTTATAGTTGCCATAGACTTCGGAACGACTTACAGCGGATATTGCTTTTGTGTGAAGGGAGATATTGATAACATCAAATCAGTGTATTGGGGTTCAGAATACGGCTACAGATCTCCGAAAACACCCACATGCGCTCTATTTAATCCGGATAGGAAACTCAGGAAATTCGGGTATGACGCCGTCATCAAATATAATACAATGTCTTCAGAAGAATCGCGAAAATGGTATTTCTTCGAAAACTTCAAAATGGAACTGTATAATAAGGTAGGAAAAAGGGTCAAGCTAAAACAGTGTTTACGTCTTGGATCTTATTTTCAGACTAACGCTCTGGTTTTGTGCACCACACAGTACTTTTGTGCTAATGCTCCTGGTTCTGAATGTCCAGACTATCACGGTATCAATTCTAAATAGCTCTTTGGTAGGAGAAGTGTTAAACTGAGCCAGTCATGGTTTTACTGGACCGATTTAAACCTTCTGCACAAATATATATAATGATAATAAGAAGAATACATTTTGTATAGCTGTAAGGTAAAATACTTAGGTAATATCATTTAATAAAGATGCTTTATAAAATGAAGGCTATTTCAGAGTTCTGTACATAATTGTGTTGTTCTTTATTATACAAACAGGTGAATCTGAAAAAATACATTAACTTAGAATACATACTGTACAGTATGGTTGGCCAAACTGTTAAAGAAGAAGCCATGGTTCTCTCCAGAACTCTGACATTACAATGTGCAAAGCACAACTATACCATGACTGAGACCAGTATGCAAGGTTGACTATTACTTCATAACATGCTTTATTTACTTCATTTTTTATTCCATTTCTTAGTCTCAACAAGTAGAGGGTACTCTTAGCAAGACAAAATAATACATAAAGTTTTATACAGCCTGAATGGAGGAGTATAAAACTTGGAACATGGAACACGCCTTCCAAATAGAGAGAGGCTTAGAGCATATGTGTAATTCATATTCAGAGTGTCAACAATTTTAAACAAGCAGAGTTTCACTAACGTCATTCATTAATGTAACATTTATTCTTGTCTCTGTGAGATAAGTAATATGCAGGTGGTTCTACTTCTCTGGTCTTCTACAATAGTCAGTTTTCTTATTCAAGCTTTCTGGCCAGATAAGCTTTTTCCTACCTGATTGTCTCCGAGCAACAATCAGGAATTTCTTCCTAGAATTTTTGTTCTCTGCATTCACACTAAACCTAACTAAATGTTTCTTGGGTTGCAAGAACTGTCTCTTAAGACCCCATCTTCTGGCTGAGAGCTGTATTTTGACATTTGTTTCTTACTGTACATTCTTCCACATAATAGCTCAATATAGGAAGTTCATTTGTCCACACTTTCTATTAAGAAATGACTTTCTCAATTTCACTCTACCTTTTATCACTTATTTCATCAAATTGTTTTCATTGACAAGTACCTGTAAAACCTGCAAGACTCTGGCCATCAAAGGAATTTGGCTATTCAAATTTCATTTTCCATAAATCATACGCTTATTTAACTTCTGATGTGTTCTTTCTTAACTTAGATAGTCCCAAAAGGTTTGATGATTCCAGACAAGAATGGAAAACCATTCCCAGCTCTGCAGGTTTTCTCAGAGAGTCTGCGGTTCCTGAAGGATCATGCCCTGAACACCATCAGTGACCAGACATATTGGAGGCAGTTCATTGCCTCTGACGTGACTTGGGTGTTGACAGTGCCTGCCATCTGGGACTCTAAAGCCAAACAGTTCATGAGACTAGCAGCCACTGAGGTAACTAGACTTTCATTACTTTGTTGAGTCTCAATATAAACAAGTCTGTATCTTTGAGTTAAATAGTCTTTATTACAACCAAACTTTAAATGTTTTATTAATGTACTATAAAAAACAAGAGGTGATGTAGAGGAATTAAATATAGGGATTTAAAAAAAATAACAAATCAGTTTCTGACACTGACTTTTATTTCAAGCAAATTATAAAAGTTAACAGTTACACTAACTCTTGTAGACACAAAGTTTCTTTGTTCCCAGAACAGTCACATAACAGTAATAAACAAGGCAGCAAATGTAAAATATGAATACATTTTTAATTACAGTAACTGCTGAATATCTGATACAAATAACATAGAGGTAAGGGAGTTTCTCTGTTTTGTCAAATAAAAGTCCGTATGCAGGGCAGATTACTCCCTAATGAAATGCCTAGCAAAGAGAAACATTTTGCATCATTAAACAAGGGAGATTTCTTTAGCCTGGTGGTTACCACAAACAGGAAATAAATATATTTATATTGGCAAGTAAGCAATCCTTTTTTTAAATCCTAAAATTGATCCTTAAGTTGCCTGAATGTGTTCTGTAGTCTAGGCTGATTAAAGTGAAACCCTCTTAATGTGTTCATATGTTGGGGGAAACACTGATGTCCTCCATAAAATTGTATAAATTGTCTTATTTCTACTGTATTGGGGCTCACTTTTTACTGTGACAGGTTGGCTTAATAATCTCCTAGTAATGACTCAGTCATTGTTAAATATTAGTTAAAGAATGATGGCTATTGTGGCTGCCTCATTCAACACAATATTGGACAGCAAAGAAGTTACAATCTGCCTTGACCAACACTATAACAAATGCCCATTGTCAGATCTTAGCGATAAGAGGTACTGTTAGGTGTAGTTAACAACTTAACCCCCGTAAAAAGTAAATTCTACCAATAATCCTTGATAGATGCACATGTGAACTAAATACTTGATTAAACTAAATATTAAACAAGCTAGACAAACTAAAATCTAAAAAGGACACATTATGTTGTTTCAAGAACATGTATATTAAATACTTTTAAGGCTGCAATGAACCATCAGGGCACCTTCTATGTGAAACACACTTCCAAATCCTGGAAGAGCAAATATTACTAGTAAGTATGTTTCAGAAGTACATTTTACAGATTTCACCTGCCTCTGGAGATTTTCATTCTTAACTTTAGAAGTAGATAAAACAGATTTATTCTTTAAAATGTCTGCCAATAATGGCATTGTGTGGAATTTGCTTGGAATTTGTTTGATTTTACTCTATATGAGTAATTTAATTGTCCATTCCATAATTCTTCTCAAACTAACTTATAGGATAATAATATACTGTATACAGTGGTAAAGAGTGCATTTTATACCTCACATCTGCAGGCAGGCCTGGTGTCTGAGATGAGCTCAGAAAATCTGATTCTTGCCCTGGAGCCTGAGGCAGCCTCAGTGTGGTGTAAACAGCTGCCCAGGGAAGGCTTTGTGGCTGAGGGAGGAGACAACACCTTTGCTCAGACTCCAGGAGTGCAATACATTGCTGTGGACTGTGGGGGTAAGGTACAGATTTAAAATGCGTCTTTTTTACCACTTCCTAACAGACAATACAATAAATTTTGCTAACACTTTATTTTAGGCAAACGATACAAGATGTGTATTGGTTCTTAAAGGTCTTGCTTGATTGTTTTTGTAAACAATATGAATGAGTTTCCTATAAATTCGAAAAAAAAAATATATAGATGTAGAGGATGCAAGAAGGTTTGAGATGATTTTTAGTTTGTAAAGAAAAAGGACATTTCTGGAAAACAACAAAGAAGACACGCACAAGATTTATCCCTGTTATCCCTGAATCCAAGCAGTTTTGCAGGACGGTTATTAGTCAGGGCACAGCTCTGATCACCCTGTTACTGACATTAATGGGTGTTTAGAAGTGACCACTGCTTGTGCATTAGAACTATAAAAATATGTACAATGGCTATTTATGAAAATGAACAAGTAATAGGTTTATTCCATGCTGAAAAAAAGAAGAAAGAGAACACAACGTTTCGGCCGTGGAGCCTTCTTCAGGTGA